TGCTGGACACACTCACCCTCACTTTCTCATGATCAGAGGCAGAGACACAGAGCAGGCACTGGAAATGGGTCACTCATTGTGTGGGAGGGTCCAGACTTATGCATCATTGCCTCAAAGTGGGGCAATGGGACAGGGCTAGGAAAGGGCACAGTGTGGAAGGTACTAGACACAGAAGTGAGTGGCTGACCTAACATAGGAGGAGACCTGAGCCTGAGAACTAGATGTGTGTGTATGTGTGTGCTTGTGCAGAGATCTGGAGGCAAGGCTGAGAGCACATTGTCATGGGGCAAAGCAGGGATCCAGTGTGGGAGGTGGAAGCAGTTTTCAGAGGGGCTGCACTGAGCCTCTTGGACATCATGGTGAAGAGGGGTGGCATGACTGCATTGAAGTTTAGAAAGTCACTCTGGCCTCAGTGTGGGGATGGAATGACGGAGCAGAGGAACAGGCTGCAAGAGCAGGAGAAGGGGTATGGCAGGTATCAGGCAGCCTCAGACAAGTGGGGGTGGCCGAGTGGAGAGAAGAGAACAGAGTCTCTGGGGTAAAGAGGATAGCACAGCAGGATCGGGCAGGGGATAAAGTGAAGGGCAGGAGCGAAGCACCTTGGATGTGGGACAGAGCTGAACAGCCCAGGCATCACCCAGAATAAGGGCCCTGCCCCAATGCCCCTCCTGTCCCACCCGCAGCCCCTTCATCCACTGCTAGATGCCAGTGATGTCACCACAGCTGCCATGTCAGGATGACTAACTATTAATTGCAGAAAGGAAATTGAATAGACACGTGTGGGAAATGCTTCAGGCTCCAGCTGGCCCCACAGGTGGGGGATGAGCTCCAAGAGGAAGGAACTAAAGGGGAGAGATGCTCCCAATGAGAGGGAGATTTTTATTTTATAAAAATGCAAGTGGAAGAGAATTTTGCCCCAAGGAGCAGCCAGAGCAGAACAGGATCCTAAGTGTTCAGTTTGGAGGCAGCCCCCCACGTGGCCGGTCATTTTTCTTCTTGAAGGTGAAGCATTTGCAGTCCTTGCTCCAAGAACTCGAACCCCCATCCTATTTCTGTAGACTTTGGCTTTTGTCAAATGGGGTATGCTAGAATCCTTTCTGCAGGAGACCAGAACAAGTTATACTCTTGGCACAATTCCTTGGCCCTGGCTCCTGTCTTGGGGAGGATGGGGCTAGGGAATGATGGAGTGGGGAGCGCACCCAGGGGCGAGGGAGGAGGAACAGCCGCTCTTCCCAACAGCCCCTGGCAGGAAGGACAGGAAGGGGGACCTGGCAAAACACCGAATCCTCTGCCTCTGCTTTCTCACTCAGCATCCTCAAGCCTGCAGCTTCCACCCTTGTCTGACTCCAGGGGAAGAGGAGGAGCCGCTGATGGAGCATGTTTCCAAGACCCACTCAGCCAAAACACAGGCCACCAACCTAGAAAGCACAAGCCCGCTGGCTGCCCTCTGCCTGCGCGAGTTGGGGGACAACATTTGTCGTCTTTCCAGGACATTGTCCACACTCAGCCCCCATGCCCGCGTAAGAGGCCCTGGGAGTTAACCAGAGAACACCAGTGCTTGATGCCCTGGCCTCTCTCTGGGCCCCAGAGGATCAGCAGAGGCTGGAAAGAGCCAAACTGGAGGTCCTGGTCACTCTTTTCAGAAAATGCTTAAGGAAATCTCTTCTTCAATCTAAAAACCAATCCACCCAATCACCAGGAAGGCCACAAGGTCAAAAGCAGCCTTTTGGCTCACACCCCGCCCCTTCTTCCCCCTCACTGAGCACCGAGAATAACTTCCTGCTGGGGGTGAGGGTGGGTAAAAAAAGATTTAATTACAGTTTCTGTTTCTGACCTCACTCCCCCACCCCAAGAGATGCCATGTTGCCCTGCCCGGCTGTGGTGTCAGTGAAAGGCCACCAGAAGGGCAGACACTCCCACAGGCCAAGGTGCCCTCCAGGGAGCCTCAGGGCTGGAGGGTCATCCCCACTGCCCAGCTCACTCAGGGGCATAGCAATCCCTGAGCAATCTCGGGGAATACCAGAAAGTCTGGCTTGGGGCTACCTTCCTAAGAATCCTCAGACAAAATGAAAGAAGCTTCCAAGTCTCTGGAAGAGAGGGTAATTTTACCCCCTGGATATCTCCAGACCAGTACTGCCCGATCCCAATTTCTAGATCTCACCCTCCATCCCCGCCCCCACCCTGCTCCGGCTCGCTGCTCCGGGGACTGCTTCGGGGTTAGTGTTCTTCCCGCGCAGGTCTTGGTGGACTCAAATGTGGCCTCATATTGTGTGGCTGCCCTGCACTGTTAATAAGCCTGGGGCACACAGCCTTTCTGGGTGCCCCCCACACTCTGACCCACCCACTCTCACCTCCAGCCTCCTAAGGAAAATGTTTTAAAATCTAATATTCACCAAGCAAACACTCAGCCAGCCCCTCTCTGCTCTCAGCCAGCCCTTGCTATCCTCTTAAACTCTGTCAAGCAGGTAAGGAGGGCCCTTCTCCCCACAAAGCCCCCCAAATTCCTCAGGGACCCCTTGTAAACTGGTCATCAGATGTTTCTGAAACCGATGCTGAGCCACAAGGGGCATCTATGGAGCTCTGGGAAAACTATTTTTCTGGTTTGGGACCTCACCCACTGGGATTCCGCCAGCTGCCTTTCGTGTCCGAGAATTTGAGTTAGGAATCCCCCCCAGGAGGTAGGAGGGGTGATTAAAATGAAGACAAGAATAAAAGCTTTCAGACTTGGTCCCTCCTTGCCAAGAACAGCTCCGGAGGCTCACAAGTGCTCACAGGACCGTCAAAGGGAAGCCAGCGCCAATAACTGTTTGTTGACTCGGTGAAATACTCCATCTTGGCATTATTGCCATTGAAAACATCTCCTCTATCTGGGATCTTTTCTACACCAAATGCACAATTGCTTCATTCACCTCTTCAGAGGAATCTGTCACCAAATCCAGAAGCTGCCTCCGCCAGCAGGCGGGGCAGGAGACCAACTTGCCCATCCTCCGCCCCCAGGGATGAGCCAGAGGTGCAGTTCCTGTGTCAATGAAACCCCAGATCCTCTCCTGCCCTGTGGGTGGCACACTACTCCCTCCCCCCAGCCTTATCCCAGCCCTCCTTATCCCCATAAAGAATTAAGGCAGGGGCAAAGGAATGGAAACAGGAATTTCCGTCTCAACCAATGTTCAGGGAGATTCACAAAAACATGCACTGATGACTATGACCAAGAAAGAAAAACTACCTAACGGTATGCCTTCTATGTGCCAGACGTATGCTGTGCCACACATCTGATCTTTACAACCTGGTGAGGCTGGTCTTTTATACAGGAGAACATTGCCCAAGATCACAGTGGCAAGGACAGGACTTGACAGCAAGTCCCACCAGCTGATGGCAAGAAAGTGGGCAAACCACTAAGAATCTGGGCTTTGTGTCCCCTGTCTCCATACTGGAAGTAGTAACCTCTCAGCCCTGTGAAGAGGGAAGCCAAGCACAGGTGTGAGTCTAAATGCTTTGCACCCTGGAAAGCAATATCCAAATGTTAATGCACTGTGACTTGCTCCAGGGCCAGGGGTGCTTCTCCTTCATGCCTGTGTCTCCAGCACCCATATCTGTGCCTGGGATGTAATCAGCCCTCACTTGGTGTTGGAGAGGAATGAAGCAGTGTCCACACCACACCGCAGGGAGGACAGAAGGGGGCCCTTCCCATGGCCGGGAGAGGGGAGGGGAGGGGTTGGGAGGAGCAGCTGGGAAGCCAAGCAGACCTTCCTGGCCAGAGGAGGAGCACACAGCCCTGGGAGTGGGAAGCAGGTGAGACCAGGGCCCGAGGCTGGCTGGTTAGATCAGCCACACCCACGGAAGCGTCACAGGAAAAGCCCCCTGACCCTCTCACAAGAGGTCAGCCAAAGCGAGGGAGAGCTGCACCCACCCGTGCTTGGAGTGGGGCAGGCGGAGGGGCGATGCCCGCCTGGTACCAGCTGCGAAGAAACCCCGGGGCTCCTGCAGAAGGGCCGACCAATCTGACGGTGAAAAGCAGCAGGTGCTCAGGGAAGGGGTCGGGGGCTGGAAACATGGGATGGAAAGTTCTAGATGTGGGGTCCCTCAGGAAATCCCCAGGAGTCTCCTGCCCCAGGTACAGACACATCACCAGGGAAGCCTCTTGCGTCTCCTGCAGGAGGGAGAGTCCTTTGAATCCCAGGCACCTTACCTGGAACCCTTAATGGCACTCACCGCAACCTGCCTTTTGTTGCAGGCATTTGTGCTCCTGTCTCCTCATCCTTATGAACTAGGGGCAGGACCCTTATTGTACTGTGTCCCTCTCAGCAGCGACCAAAGTGCCAGCGCCCGCCCGTACACCGCTGACACGTAAAGAAGTGAAGGTGGGTTGGGCAAGGAAGGGACAGGGGACAGAGGAAGGTCAGAATAGCCTGCTAACCAACTGCCTCCCGCCGGCGCACCCACCGCACCACCACCCCCGGGTTCCAGACCCCCTCGGGCTGGGCCGGGGTCTGTCCGGGTGGCCCCGCTCATCCCGCGCCAGCCCCCGAGGCGAAGCGCTCCTGCTCCCGCACCGCTACAGCCGCAATTGAGCCTCGCTCTCTAGCGTGATTTGTGAGTCAAAAATACGCCAAGGCGGTAACTCAGGTGGTATGAAGCTGTGTCTCCTGTTTTCCTCCTCAACCGGACATGGGCTTCCAAATCTGGAAAACCGCGTCTCATTTAAGGGGAAATTTTTACAGGCATTCACACGAACCAGGGCTGGCGAACGGGGCTCCTGCCACCCACCCACCCCGCCAGCCGGGGGGCTTGGCCGGTGGCGGACCTGGAAGCCAGGAGCCGAACAAGCCCTGGTGTTGAACAGCAGTTGCTGCGCCTCCTGCCCGGCCGGCTCCGGCCCCGGGAATTTTCCGCTGCCCAGGCAGGTGGATGTGGGTCTGGCCTGCCTGCGCGGCTGCCGGGCTGTGGGGGTAGCCGAGAGGGGGGAGAGGCTGCAGGCCGTGGTGCCGGAGTGGGTCCAGGACCCTCTCAGGGAGGGAGGGCAGGATGAGGTCCCCGTTGCCTGAGCAGTGGGCCTCCCTCCATCCCTCTAGGTGCACGCCTGGTGAGAGCTCTGTGCCTCCATCCAGCTCCCCACCTCCCTGCCCCACCCGCTCCCCGGAACCGCCCCCCTCTCAGCCCTGGGCCGCTCATGCCCTCTGGGTTCTGTTTTCATTCCAGGCTGTGGATCCGGTCGTGGGAAGCAGGTAGGAAACCATGATTCTGGGAGTTAAATGGAGAATTATATTTAGTGCTCACAGAAAGCCAAATATTGGGTTAGCAGCCAGGAATGGAGAGGGAAAACACCCAAAGCAAACAGCATAGGGAAAAAAATTCCTACCAAACAAGGTCTCTATTCATTCTTCCAATTCCAGGTGCAAGAGCCTGCGGGGATGAACCCCACTGAATCTGAGCAGCCCGTCCTGTGTTCCTGGCCACCAGGACGTGTGCACCCCAGGCTTTGATGAGACCCCCCCAGACTCGGATCCTACATTGCCTGTCCCCACGGGACCAGGGGACTCTCAGCCCTTCCCACAAAGGTCAGTATCTCTACTGGCAATAGTCGGGTCACCATGGAGCTCATGAAGTTGACCCCACAACCCTTTGGGAGCCAAGGGTGGGTTGGGGAGGGGGGGAGCAAGGTGAAATGTCCCTGGTTTGACCTTGAGCAAGTGATCTAACCTCCCTTAACCTCAAGTACGGAATTGAGGGCTTGGGGTATGATTTCACAAGTCCTAACATCCTATGACTCCGGTTCTGCCTAAATTAATACTAAGAATAAGAGTGTGAGGAAGACTATGACAGCAGCACCTGTCTGTTTCCCGTGGAAGCTTCAGGTGAAGCCTTGTGAGATAAAGGGACGTGTTTCAGCTGATTCCCCGCGCTCGGCTTTCTGAGCCTTGGCCCTCCCCATAGGAGACGCCCAGGGTCTGAGCTGAGTCTTCTGGAAACGCCAGACTCCAGTGATGTGCTTTTGAAACCTGCTCAGACTGCTTTGATTTCAAATAGCCGTTTGGGCAGGGGGAAGACTGGCCATACCCAGCTTGGCCACCAAGCAACCTGAAGAGGCCTGGAAATTCAGGGAGAGGTAGAGGGTAGGTAGAGAAGAGAAGGGCAAGGAAAAGAAAACAGCACAGACCTCCCCCCAAAAAACATCTCTTGTGGGGTCCCAGACAAGGCAGAATTTAACCTCACAACTCCATGACTCATTTGTATCCAGCCACTGAATTATTGAATTATCTACTCTCCTTCCCCTGGTGGCTGTCTGTTGGGCTGAGCTGTAGTAGGAGGCTCAATCGTAGATAACAAAGGACTTTTAAAAGCAGAAGTTGCTAGTCAGAGGATAAAGGGCTGAATTCTGGCCAAGCAGAAGAAAGGAAAGACTGAAATCCCTTGCTCCTGGTCTGTCTTTCTCTATGTGCCTCTGTTTATTCCTCATACACTTGACTCACTGCTTCTCACACCTTAGTTGTCTCAAAGAAGCTTCTGGTAGAGTCTGGGCACACACTGTGGGCAGGAAGTGCCAGCCTGAGGGTTGGCAAGCCCTGTACATGGAGGAATGCCGTTTCCAAAGAGCCCCACCAGCCTGCAGAAAGGAAAGCCCTGTCTACTTGCTCATCCCCACCCATCCCTATCTTCCCAGGTTCCAGCCTTCATCCACAGGGACTCCAAAACATGCATCTGTCAGGTAAGTTACAGGACCAGAACCTTGGGAGAGGACATGCCGAGCAAGCCACTGAGAAAACTGAAATAAAATGAATTCCCCCAAATCAGCTCCTTCTCTTGTTTTCCTTAAGCTCAGCAAATTGTACCACCTACCACCAGTTTTCTAGAAACTAAAGATCAAACTTGATGTCCATCCAGTCCTATTTATCTCCCAGATTTATCCCTACAATCTCACCACCCTTACTATTACTGCCCTCATGGGCCCTTGGCATGTTTCATCCAGATTATTGAAATTCCCTCCCAGCTGATAACCCTGGCTTTGTACAGCTTTTCTTCATTTTGTCCACTCTAGTTTAGCCAGAGAAATATTTCTAAAATATGTATGTATAAAATCATTTCATTGCATGCAGTTTTTCTTCATTCACTACCTAGAGGACAAAGCCTGAGTTTGTGAGTAAGCATGCAAAGCTTTCCATCAGCTCAATCCAGCCTGTCTCCTACCATTTCACTGGTCCTTAGCCAGGACGAGTGAGTTCCCTTAACTAGTGAGTTCCATTTCTGAACAAATGGAAGTGGTTAAATTGGTATAGCCATTATAGAAAACAGGATGGTAGTTCCTCAAAAAAAATTAAAAATAGAACTACCATATGATGCAGTAATTCACTTTTGGGCATTTATCTGAAGAAAAGGAGATCACTGTCTAGAAAAGCTATCTGCACCCCCATGTTCATCACAACATTATTTACAGTAACCAAGACATGGAAATAACTTAAGTGTCCATCGACAGATGACTGGATAAAGAAGTGGTAAATGTTCTTTTGGTACAATGGAATATTATTCACCATAGAAAAGAAGGAAATCCTGCGATTTGCAACAACATGGATGTACCTTGAGGGCATTACACTAAATAAAATAAGTTAGAGAAAGACAAATACCAAATGGTCTCACTTATACATGAATGTAAAAAACCCAAACTCATAGAAACAGAGAAGAGACTGGTGTTTGCCAGAGGCTGGGTGGACCAGATAGGTGAAGGGGGTCAAAAGGTACAATCTTTCAGTTATAAAATAAATAAATCCTGGGTTGTAAAGTGCAGCATGAGGATTATAGTTAACTGTATATTTGAAAGTTGCTAAGAGAATAGATCTTAAATGTTCTCATCACTAGAAAAAATTGTTAACTGCGTGGTGATAGCTGTTAGCTAGACTTAGTGTGGTGATCATTTCACAATATATACAAATATCAAATCAAGTTGTATACCTGAAACTAATAGGTCAATTATAGTTCAATTTCTTTTTTAATGGAGTATTGAGTTCACTGTTACAACCACAAAGTAATGATGAATAAAACATTTTAAAAGATATCACAGCCCTCATAGCTGGGCCCAAAAACAAGATGATGATTGGTGCAAACCGGAAGCAGACCAGAGTCAGAAAGCCCTGAATGGGACCGTATCCAGGTGCTGCCAGGCTCCAGGTCCCAAGCATAACTTTGAACTAAGCTCCTGTGGGGCGCTGGGGACCAAGAGTTCTCTGTCGTTACAAAGTCAGGAGCGTGGCCACCTTTGAAGGGGTACTGATTGGCAGGAGCACCAGGGGCTTCTGGAGGCCGGTGATGTTCTCCTTCTTAATCTGGGTGCTTCTGACACAGGGGTCTTCCCTCGTGAAAATTCATCCAAGTGTTCCCTTGTGAGTGTGTGTTTTTCTGTATGTATGTTCTACTTCATTTAGAAAGTTTGCTTTTTAAAAGGTTTTCCAGGAATGTAGACCCATGGCTTGAAACCAGGAGCCAGGTGGTGGCTCTACCTATGTAGACAAAGAGGCTGAAAAAGAGTTGAGCTGTCAGTCGGCTACTGGAGGCTTCCTGCTTTCAGATGCTCTGGGCCAGGGTAGGGTGAGGTGAGGGGGTGGGAATAGGAGACCTCATTGCAACCAGGAAGCCAAGCCAAGCCGCCCACTGGCTCCGTGTCTGCACTGGCATTTGTTGTAAGCACAGTATCAGGAACTATGAAGCGATATATAAGCCCTCATTTTGGAATGGGGTCTTAGGAGATTGGGTGGAGGCAACCACAAAACTATAAACTGCACATTCAGGAAGAGGGAAAAAAAACACAAAGACAAAACAAATCAGGAGAGGAAAAAAACTGCCACTCAATATGGATCCACAAACCAAAATTCCAAAACACATATTTAAAAGCAAAGAAATCTAATACTAAGAGAAAGATGGTACAATCAATCAACAACATGAACCCATTTCAGTGGATACCAATTTATAAAATAATATGGAAAAGACTGTCAAGTATATTTACACTGCTCAAAGAAATCATGAAGGCATAATACCTCTTAAAAATAAGCAAAAAGTATTTGATGAAAACAGGTAGAAATGGAACAAAACCAGCTGGGCATAAAAAAGAAACAGTTGGGTGGGGGAGAGACAAGGAAAAGAGAACAGCAATAGGGAACCTTAGAAACAAAAAACAACCATTGAATTTTTTTGTTTAAAGCCTCAGTATTCAGGTTAAACTCAGGATTGGGTATAGTCAAACAGAAAAAATGATGAGTTGGGAGATAATAAGGAAAATCATCCGAAATGCAGTACAAAGAGACAAAGAGGGGAAAAATAATAAAAGACTAAGACATAAAGAAGATTGCAAGACTATAAGAGAGAACAAGAAGAAGTAAGTAGAGAAGATGGTCATATGTTTTGTTTATTTGTTTCCATCAGTATTCTTACTACGCCCTTCTAAACTCTCCGTATCTCTCCGTATAGCAGATTTGATCAGCAGCTTAGAGACTACAATCATTTTCTTCCTCCAGCAGAGGCAGCAGGTGCCCAGGCTTGACTAGACATAGTTTGGGCAGTCTCGATGGACTCCATTCCCCTGACAGTCATCACACTTGTCCCAGGCCTTCCAAACAAGACTGGTTCCAGCAGGGATTTCCTTGGTTCCCTGACATCTGGATGGTAACAACTTCCTGACTCTGTGGCCACCATTTCAGTGGTGAATCTGAAAGTTAGACACACTCCCTGATTTTCCTTCCAATGACTGTATTAGCACTCAGTTTCCTCACTTTCTATCTGTAATACCTGGAGTGGTTTCTGTATCCCAGCACAATAAAAGCATAATGGCTATATTTGAAGATGCTGTAGTTTTTCCCATAAAGTAAACCAAAAAAATAACGATAAAGAGTTGTAAGATAGGAGAGACAATAAAATCAGAAAATTAGACAAGTCCAGAAGGTCCAACATTCAAATAATAGAAGTTCTAGAAATAGAACTCAGGGGAAACTGAAGGAAGGAATTCATCAAAGAAATCATTCAAGAAATATTCCTGGAGCTGAAGGATGTAAGTTTGAAAATTGCAAGAGCTCACCTGACACACAGCACAAAGGATGGATGAAAATAGACCCATGACAAGACACATCATATGAAATTTCAGAATATTAGGGATAAAGAAATGATCCTACAAACTTCCAGGGGTGGGGGGAAACAGTCACATACTTGATATCAAGAATCAGAATGGATAGACTTCTCAAAAGAAAAAGTAGGTTCCAGAAGATAATGAAGAAATGCCCTCAAAATACTAAAGAAAAAGTTATTTTGAACATAAAATCCCATACTAAGTCAAAGTAGAAATCAAATATAAGAATGGGGAGAAAAGAGCATGTTTAGGTGTAGAAATAATTGTTTTTAGGGTATCTCCTAAGTACCTTTTCTCTGCAAGGTACCAGAAGGTGTGTTCCACCAAAAATAAGGAAGTACACCAAGAAAGAGGAAGCCATAGAATGCAAGAAATCAAACCCCCAAAAAAGGATGAAGGGGAATCCCGGGATGATGATGAAGGCAATACCAGGATAATAGCTGTGTAATAAGTGTAGAAATCAACCAGTCCAGATGGGAGCCAAGGTTTTTTCTAAATCCTTAATAATCAATTCAATAAGACAACTGAGGAGGAACAAACAGAACAGTCAAATAGAATAAAAAGCCCAGAAACCCACATATTTTAAAAATTTGATATATGATGGAGGAAATATCCCCAAAGTAGGGAAAGAATGAATTATTTGATAAATGATACTAAAGTGTTTATTATTCACCTAGAAAAAAATGAGATGTCTACTTCACACCATATAAAAAACATAAATTATAAAAACACTACAATTCCAGATGTTCAAAAGGAATAAATGTAAAAAAGAAAATGTTAAAACTTTAAGAAGGAAATATAAAAGGGGGAAAATATGTAGACAGATACCTTTCTGACCACAATTTTAAAAAGAGTGCATAAATAAAAGGCAAAAGTCTAATCCGTAAAGGAAAAGGTTGATCACTTTGACCTAATCACATGTAAAGCTCAGTTTAAATAAGAGAGAACTTCTAAAAATGTAGACATGACAAGACCAGAAGAAAATAAGTGCAAAACACACACTGAAAAAAAGAGTAATGTTCATGTTTTATAAGGACCTCTTAAAGATCAATTTAAGAGAAGTTCCAGCTTCAGCAGGATAGAGTAAGCACACTCCACTTACAAATCCTGCACAGACTCTATGGAGCAGCCCGCTCTTCGAGGACACTGAAAAGTAAACCGTAATAAGCCAACTGGGGAAGGATTCCAGAATTCAAAGTTCTGCACAAACAGTGATGAGGTTACCATTTCCTTCCCTTCAGTTTCACCTGGCCAGAAGAAAGCCTGAAACCGGGAAGTACATATTAGATGAGGACAGAAAGGGCTCCAAGAGAAATTTTCTTTTTCTGACCTAGAGTAGAGGAAAAGGGTCCACTAATGGTTAAATGGTCAGAAAGCTTTTGCTACTTTGGTTTTTATTTTGTTCTCTCTTTTTTTGTGTTTTTTGCTCTCTCCCACTCCAGCCCCCAGACAATGACAAAGTGGAGGCACGATATTGGCAGGTGCCCAAATGCAAAGGGCAGAGAAGAGCTGTGCTCTCCAGAGTGTGGGGCAGATTCCCATTGTTTGCTACTCTTATTGGAATGACAGCAGATTTCTCGTCAAAAGCTATGGAGGCCAGAAGGAGGAGGAATAACATTTTTAAAGAGCAAAATGGAACCTGTGACCCAAAAATTCTGTATCAAATTCAATGCAATC